GCAGATCTCGTGGCAGGCACAGCACTTTGTGAACCTCCATGTGCACTGTCTGCGGCGCTTGCTGTTTCTGTGGAGCTGGAAGCTGAGAACTGGCGACGTTGTAGTACAACTTCAGTACGCGGAGCAATCTGGGGAGCTGGAAGCTGAGAACTGGCGACTTTGTAGTGCAACTTTAGTACGCGGAGTATCTGGGGAGCTGGAAGATGAGAACTGGCGACTTTGTAGTACAACTTTAGTACGCGGGGTATCTGGCGAGCTGGAAGCTGAGAACTGGCGACTTTGTAGTACAACTTTAGTACGCGGAGCAATCTGTGGAGCTGGAAGCTGAGAACTGGCGACTTTCTAGTACAACTTTAGTGTGCGGAGCAATCTGGGGAGCTGGAAGCTGAGAACTGGCGACTTTGTAGTGCAACTTTAGTACAAGCGCCAAGCAGCACACATCCACCCGCACACTGATACACACTGACGAACAAGCACATACACACAAACACACAACTCACGTGCACACAGAGACCCTCACGCCTTATATCTGTCTCGCCTGTCTCTTCCCCATGCTCACTCTTCCGCACTTTACCCCTGCAGCCTCAATCTTTCGAAGTTGTTCACATGTGGGGTTATCCGGTCCTATAATTTTTAATTGATACGTTAACTCTCACCCTTTTCGGAAGGGCAGTCACAGAAGGTTTTTTTGTAGGGGAAGGCCAAGCGCTACTAAGTTGGAGGCCATGGTTTGCAGGTTCTTCTTTATTGAGTTGTCTTCTTTATTAAGGTGTTCGTCCTTTCTTCGGTCACACTCCTTTCAAGGTTTTGAAGCACATGACATCGCCCGGAGTTCCTCGCAGCTCGGAGACACCTACATGTGCCTTGTCAAACGGAAGTGATGAGCACTGGAAATGGCTCGGTTGCAAGGCGAGCTTTCTCCAAAGCACGTTGAATTTCTGAAGTTTTCTTCGGAGGTATTGGCTCGATTTCAGGTACAATGCTGTGATCAGTGCGCACACTGCAAATCCGGCGGCCGATCTTCTAAACACTGGAGATGGACGCTTTGACGAAGTGCGTTGGGTGGCGAGTTGGGGAAAACTAAAGATCTCGACAGAAAGATAATACGTATTTGCTAAGACGAGTGTTTGGCCGATGCGGACATCGCTACCTGCAATTACTGAAGCCGTTTTGGGTGCTTGGAACTTCACTCCGCGTATTCCATGCGCAAACAAGACTCAGACAAGACTGAGGCTTTGAGCTCTACGACACCGACATGCAGACTGTGCTGGTTGAGGTTACCTTCCGGAACTACGATCGCCCCAACGATGTGGCTATCCAGGACAGTCCAAGGCTTCCAAGTGGAGATCGTCCTAATTTTGAGACATGATATTTTGTTTTACGTAAATCAATAAATCGAAATGTACGACATTCAACATCCAAAATTGGAGGACATGACGCACAGCAACATCTTCAAACCACAGGGCATGTTCCATTCGTCGAAGCTCCACTTCGAGGCGACACCACTGGCGCAACGCCTTCGTGGCTTGGCCAGACCTTTCGGGAAGTCACGTTGGGCGTTCTCCAAAAAGCATCTTTTGGGCTTTCCCAAAACTGTTTCAAAAATCCAGTCGGAGTAGTCAAACCTTTTGTTTTACAATAAGCCAGACCCCCGCAAATGATTTTCGCCAACGAACACGCGGTGGCAATCGCATCGGGCCAACTTCCAAGCCGAAGTTCGCTCGCATAGCCCTTGCCTATATGCCATCAAACCCTGGAGCGTAGGAATATCCAGAACTTAGCTGAGCTGTCCGTGTCCATGGGTACTTCTCAGGAGTACAGGACCAGATAAGACAGAGTTGGTTGGTTTCATGCAAGAAGATGCTTCTTCTGTTGGGGTGTGTGGTTTGGCTTCATACTTGTGTACAAACTCGGTTAGTTCTTGCCTAAAGCCGCGGCTGGAGAACATGTTCCTGCAATGACTATCTTGGCAGCACAAGCATCATCCGTTTTGACCACTGCATTGGCAACAGAGTAAACCAAGCGGTTCAACCGAAGGTCCAGTCATATACACAGCCGCAAGGTCCCCTGTAAGTTCCGCACTCAGTATATCTTCCAAATGAGCGTGGCAATCGCACGACCGAAAAGGTGCGTCCAATGAGATCAGCTAGCAGCTAGATAAGAATATCAAGAATTGCGCAAGCTTCACACTACGGCCGATGCCCTTGTTACTAGCGATGCCCTTGTTGCTAGAAAGGCTCAAACGATATCCGCTCAGTTGAGAAGGCCAGGATGGCCACTTGTGCAGTGGGACCATCAAAAATCAAGAAGCTGACTATGCGGCGTTGACTTGAGGTTGACCATCACATGGCGATTTCAACGCAGTGCAACCCTTTCCATGGGGAACTTGTGCGCCGCGCAATTGGAACTTGCTTGACTTTGTCAAGAGCGCCGTTGCGTAGCTGTTAAGTTTCCAGCTCAAGCTGGCAAGCAAACAAATTGTTGGCTTTGTCTCCACAACGTGGGTCTTTTGGAGGCCCGCCAAGGTGTGCGATAGGCACGTTTTGGAGCAGAACGAGTTGAGCCATTCTAAAGACCTTTAAGTTAAAAGCATCCACTTCACTTCAATGTTCCACCCAGGCCATCCCAACAGAGGGATGGGTGGACAACCAAAAAAACAAGCAACATATAGGAAAAACGCTGCTTTGGACATGGTTTTCGCAAGATGGGGCCTATTCAACATTTATAGAGGAGCCTTGGCCAAAACCGCTGCGCTTGCTTTGACTGAACGGTCGTAAGATGAGCGAGGTCCATATGCGCCTCCAGGTGAAGGTGGCCAGAAAGAGGTTTGATCCGTCACTTGCTAAGCTGGACGCTGTGATCGTCTTCTTTTTCAGTGCTTGCGGGGGCTGAACTTTGCTTGGCCTTTCTGGTGTGGAAAATGGCCTTCTCCTTTACAACGCTTGCCAATCAGGCACCGACGTCTGCCCTCGCGTTTCATGACCCATGACAAGCATGCTCTTTGCTGCAACTTTCCCACGGCGAAGATAGAGAGGGAGAGAGAGAGGGAATGGCTCAAGTTCACAGTTCCTTTTTGGAGAAGCGGAGCTGTAAGTTTACCTTATTGGAGGGACTAAAGTCTAAACCAGTCTGAAACCCAGAGGCCCTGGTCTTATATCCCGGCTCCCCACGTCAAAGGCCGAAGGGTAGCCAACCCGTGCAGGGACCAATGAACTAGATGTGATTCCATGTTTGTGATGACGTGTCCTTTCCCGAAATTAATCTAATTAAACTTAATTCTAGTAGCTTCTTGTTACTACTAGTAAGGCACTTGTTACTACTAGCGATGCACTTGTTCCTAGTAGCTTCTTGCATCGGCCGTTTGTTTGGTTTCTGACTTCTCAAGATGATTCCGACTTTCGCCCAGAGATGGACGTGACCAAGGACATGTCGAAAGGTTGGCTTGCAAGAGTTACCACTCGGACACCTGCTTGACGCTTTGATTATATAGCTGATTTGCGCAACTGGGTGTTGTACCGTTTTCTCTTTCCCGAGGTCCCGCTTTGAAGATTTGTGGGAGCAGGAGGTTTCGGTGCTCCTTTTGTGTGTTTACTTGATTCGTTCTTGATTCGTAGCATTTCAGGTTTTCAAGATAAATCAGGTTTTCAAAATAAAGACCAAAACGATTGTATATAAATAGTTTTCGTATCAAAGAAAATTGTTTGGAAGCAAATCTGGGGCCGTTCAGAAGACTGTTTTCATTTTCTCAGGAACCAATGCAGTTTCTGCCCTGGAACTCCGGGAAGCTCTCAGACAGCAAATCTGTTCGATGTCACTTGAGCTGCCGAATGAGCGCTACTTTCTCTTCGAAGCGAGGGCTTTCCAAGTCGAACATTCAGCGGTTGGGTCGTTTGAACTCGCTTCGAACTGGGGGGAACGCCAATTGGAGGAATGCTCGTCCCCACTTGTTTCGAAGGTTGTGACATGGCCCTTCTCGCTCCCCAAAACTTGGTCATTCGACGCGTGAAAGCGAAAGTCTGAAGAGCGCTCTCCACTTGCGTAGCGCTCTACAGATCCTGCTCAGGTCGATGGTTCTTTGTCTGGGCTTGGGGAAGCTGCCATCATTGGCGCCGACGACACGGCAGCCGAGACCAACGGCCGCACCAATGAGTGGTGGCGACTGGAAGATGGCGCCTTGATGAAAATGTGGGCACTGCGTGCACCAAGAAGGTTTGGTTTAGTTGGCAAGACAGTTTTAGGGTTCGAAAAGGGAGGATCAGGAAGGAAGGCAAAGAAGAGATTGGAGCTTCTTTTCTGTCGGAAAAAGATGCAAAGAAGGCTCAGGAATTCTTGGGCTGACAAAGATCCAGATTCTCATAGTTGTCCCCAACGGAAGCTGTGGCACGCGGGAGATTCATTTGCTCATCCCAGTGAGACGTTCAAGCTCACCTGTCAGGTTGCACTCAGAACGCTGACTGGGGCTTTTGGATTTGTCCCACTCATGGGCATCGGAGCCTTGGATTTGAGTGCAGGGTTAAAGAACCAAAACTGGTGTTAAAACAAGAGCAAAAGGAACATTAACATGAAGTGAAGGTATGATGAATGCAGCGGCGTGGTACCACGAATGAAGAGACAGAATCAATGTAGAGTCTGATACGTATTTAAATGTCGGCAAGCCATCGCAGAAGTTTCGGTCAAGCCCGCGACCACTGTGAGAAGGTGATCTAACGTTCCGGATCGATTCCACTGAAGGTCCATCGTCAGCCTTTTCATCATGAAGGGTCTCATGTCAAGCCCGCCAGCACGGACCAGCCCAGACACTGCCGTGGGGATGCTCTACCACTTTGGCCGCCTCTTGGAGATAGCCGAACATCTCCAAAAGCTTTCTAAAAGCTTTCGTGTGAACAAGGACGCTACTAGTAGCAAAGGGCATCGCTACTAGGAGCAAGAACGCTACCAGGGGCTCCTGGCCGTACTACTAGGAACAAGAACTCTGCGAACGTAACAAAGGGCATCGCTGGACACCGCCGGCTTCGTCCGACGTTTTTCAGGAAACGATCGACACTTGGATGTGGGGCTGGCGGAAAGCCCGATGGCTACTTGGTCCAAATCAGCGCCTTCGTTTTTCAAATGTACCGTTCTCATCGTTTCGTCTATTTGCCGTCCAAAGAAAGACACAAAGATGAGACCAGTCCTTTGATAGACTTACTTGAATCTCCTTTAAAATGGACTCCAATTTGTGATATGCACCTCAGGTCACTGGAGGTTGCTGCGACATTGGCTGGTTTTTGCATTTGGATTCAGGCACGGCTGGGTGTGCAGCTTTAGGGCCTGATGACCGTGGACCAAAAGGATAGCGGAAATGGTTGACGGTCAGACTGTTCCATCTCGTGACGTAAATGGAATGGCCACGCCTCCACGTTCAGGCGCTGTGAAGGAGTTGACCATCTTCTTGGACCAAATGGTAGACGCCGGAGGCGGGGCGGAGGCGGGGCGGTGGGCGGTTCACAAAGCGAAAGACGCGAAACACCAGATCTTCGTCGGATTTGCTCCCAAATTCGGTGGGTTTGGTCGTTAGTCTGATTGATTCCCTCACAAAAGGTGGGCAGGTGAAACATCAAGGAGCTGAATCACAGATATTCAAAAAGAAGTCTCTATATATACAGTAATCACAGGGACCCTCTTACAACTTATTTAGTTAACTCATGTCGTAGTTGCAATTTGCAAGCATTGTTGGATATTTTTTTTGATCTCCGTGAACTTGTACATTTTCCAGGGGGACAAATGATGGCCAACAATGTTTGCGAATGAATATAGTTTGGACCTCCTGAACATTGTACAATTTCAGGGGGGTCGAAGAAGAGAGTGAATATGCAACAATGTGCATGATCGACTCAATACTTAGAAATGAACACAGCATGACGTGGATGAATAGAACAGGAGAAGTCTTTGTAATCACGCTAATTTTGGACTCTCTTGCAAATTGTATCATATTGCTTAGTTATGTCTTTCTTTCTTGCAAGTTACAAGATGTTACAAGCATTGTTGAGTGTATTTTTCCGACCTGCTGGAAATTGTACGTTTTGCAGTGTGTCCAGATTGTATGCGTTTGCAGGCATGTTGAACAATAAGCTATACAATCGCCACCAGCTGAAGCATCATATGATGCGATAACAGGCTTTGCAATTGCAACCAGTTGATGCATATCGTGCAATCATGAACAATATATTAAGACATAGGCTGTTGAGAGGGGTTGTCGTTTGTTTGCATTTCATGGACCTGGTGATGCAAATACACAATCATGGGAGAGATATAGTAAGACATAGATGATATATGAAAACCATGTGTTTTTCCATGCTTCTCCCACCTCCACTTCTCTCCGCAGGATACGCATTCCCGTTCCCAAAGGGAAAAGGTCACCCCTAGCTAAAGCTATATTGCGATGAATGCGCTCCATCACAATCATGCCCCTCAGCACCTTCAGTGCAGGAGGATTTTTTGGCCATTTCCTGCAACTCTGACAGTCTTCTCTACCTTCAGAAGCACTGCGAAGCGAGACAGAGTTGGGTTTCCAAGTTGAAGTTTACCAAGTCAGCCTTGCTGGGGAAAAAAGTTGTTCGAAGCTCACCTGCTGAAACCATGCTGCCCTCTTTGTGAGGCCTGGTCTTTGCCACCAGCTATCCCGTCGGGGCCAGCTTCACCATCCAACGTTGTCTACCCAGCTGTAAAGATGTCACTTTAGGACGTCTCCAAGTCGGTCGGAATTTTCCGCATATGCACGAATAGAAAGGAAAGGTGCTAAAGGTTGGTCTAAAGGTTCAAATGGTCTTATTGTTTCTACTAGGTTCTTGTTGCTACTAGTAAGGCACTTGTTACTAGAAGCGATGCACTTGTTACTAGTAGCGAACATTGTTTCTAAGGTCTCGTTAGAAAAGCAAGAAAGAAACACAGTAATATGGTGGCTATAGGTTTGCACGTCCGATCGAAGGACAAAGTTTGCAAGATGTCTTGGATGCACCTGGGACAGTTTACTATGTGGACAACAAGGGCCGCCTCTTTTTGAAGTCTCCAGCCTGAAGATGTTTGAAGGGATTCCACATATTGCACAACATGGGTATCTGCCGGGGTTTGCCGGAAAATACGAAAGTTTGCCGGGAGTTGGCATGATTTCAGCTATATATATATATATATATACACATACGCGTCCGCAGGTCTTGTTGGTTGTTTGGTCATGGAGCATAGGGCAGACTTCCTCCCTATCCTCTCTAGATTGCTGGAAGCTCCTTGCTATCCTTTTTGGGGATCTCCCAGTGATTTATTTGTGGAACTTCCGCTAAGGATCTCCGCATAAGCAACCGAACGCTGTTAACCCCGTTGACAGACAACTTGAAGGGACATGCATAGCGGTGTTTGGGCCTTAGCTTTCCAGGGAGTCTAGGATCCAAAGACTGTGCGCTGGTCTCATGAGTCTCCGAAATTGCTGACTAGTAGCTTCTTGCTACTAGTAGTATGGCCAGGAGCCCCTAGTAGCGTCCTTGCTCCTAGTAGCGATGCACCTGCTACTAGTAGCTTCTTGCTACTAGTAGCAAACTAGCTACCAATAGCGATGCACTTATTACTCACACGGGGCACTCTGCTTTGCTTCGCGAACGCTGTTTTTCGCCAGGTTTCTGTATGAAGCGAACGGCTACTTCGAGGCGGCTGGCGTGAAGCAACTCACCAACGGGCACCGCTATCTCTCCGGCCAGGCACGGGTGGCGTGGGTTTTCGGTTCAGATTCAAACCTTCTCGTAAAAGAAAAGCGCCAAAGTGGGTCCGACGAGTGACGAGTTCGGGGGACGGAGAAATACAAAAGAAACACTTTTCTTGTTACACAGTGTAGTGAAAGGCATCAAAAGGATCAGTGAGAATAGATTAAGAACAGCTCGTTCAGGGAGCGCGCTACACCATCTACAGCAGCTTGGAAGGAGCAGTTCCTTTGGATATTCCACCAGCTTTGGAAGGTGGAGAGGCCCCAACCACTACAACGACGGAGTGCCGTGGCAGACAGAAACGGCAAGCGGAATGCTTAGCATCGGATGCATTCAAACCGAGTTAAAAGACCGAGGGAACCTCTTTGAGATCCGGCTTTTTCTTGTCCAGAGACCCGGATCTTCGCTACTTCGCGACTTTCACTTTCGAACAGAAGCCAACCTTTACCCAACCCCCAACAGCATGCTCACTATGTGGCACACCGGGCACACCCCACCGTGCCATACCGTGCCCACGTGCCCAGCGCGCCGGTGAGGTATGTACCAACCACGGCGACAACCAGCTCCATCGACCTGAGCTGTTCGGGGCAGTGGGAAGGACTGAAAATTCCATAGCGATGGCCTCCAACTTAAAAGAACTAAAAGAGATGTGCATCGCAAGTAGGTTGGAGGCCATCGCTATAACAAGAAGCTACTAGGGGCTCCTGGCATCGCTACTAGGAGCAAGGACGCTACTAGGGACTCCTGGCCTTACTAGTAACAAGAAGCTACTAACAAGGACTGAAGTTGAGGATTTTGGCGAACGATCTTCTCGGACTCCTTCGGCCTTGGCGCTTGTCGGCGCTACCAGTTGCCAATTGCCCAGCTACAAAACTCAAAAACAAGAGGATGCAATCCACTCTACAATAATGGATAGCCGTCACCGCCTGACATTGCTTCTGAAGTTGTGTAGAAAACATCCCACGAGCCTCTTTTTCCATTATGCAATGGCAAGCACCACTGTAAAACGTCACCTTTGAAGCGTTATTGCTCAGGACATGCTCCCCCACCATCGGCCGTACAGATGAAACAAGCTGGAGGGACGGCCTGCTTGCTAGAGCTGCCCTTTAGGTATGTAAAGATTTAACCTCACAGAAAACCTCTTTGAAGCCAAAGTGCAAGGGTTTAAGGGCACAAGGACTGACAAGAAGCGGTTGCAAGATGCGTTAAGTTTGGAATACGTCGGGTGTACACGGTAGTCACTCTTTCACCCCCGAACGTGCTGATGCCGTTCCCTGAATCAGCGGGTTCGTAACGGTTACGTTTGCGCTGCTCCGAAAGGCGCCAACCCCGATGTGCGCCGAAGCAAAACATAGAAACAAACCAGACAGGAAGAAAACACGGTCTAAAGGCCTAAAGAAACACAGGGAAAAAGGCAGGAAAACAAAAAGTATCAAAAAGTAATATTGAAGGTACCGCTTTCTGCATCTCACCAGGATGCCTCACCACATTATGCTGCCAAGATGCGGGCTTTGTGTGCTATGAGACACTTGTTCACTGGGATGTTGGGGGCAGAGGCCAAGGGGCTCAGAACAAAGTTAAGTTTTTGTGTGGATGCTCAAATTAGCTGGCGTGTTGTGACCATTTTTGCCACTTCACTTGGCGTGGAACAAGTACCAGCTGGAGACGAAGCAAACGTTGGAGAGGGTGTTTGTCAGATTCAATATCTGGAGTTATGCCATGGCATTTTTTTTTGGTTCAACGCTGTTACATGGCTTGAAAGAGGGATGGTTTTGGTTTTGCGTTTGTGTACTTACTGTTTCTCGTTCTTCTTGAGCTCTCAAAGGTGAGGTTTTAGTTGACTTCCACTTTCTTCTCCTTCCTAGCTTCTGGATGGGAGAAGGGATGTATTGACGTAGATGCTAAACTCCCGTGCGATACTTAGTTGGTAGGAGACCTTTCATTTGCAGTGTTTCCCAAGCCTAGTAAGTGTCTTTTCTTCACATTCCTGGGACAGTTGGCAATTTGTGTTCATGACAGAAGAGTCACGGATGAGAATCTGTTCAGTCTGCTGCACTGGAGGAAGGATGCAACTTGGGAAGCTTGGATGCGAAATGAGGTTTCTTCTAGAAGTATATGCGCGTATTTAAGCATAGTTGTTGAATGGACTTCTGCGCAGTTTCTGGCAAAGATAGCTTTGTTTTGTAGATCCTTTTCATGCAGTTTTGGGGCAGTGAGTGGTCCATGTTCGGCCTAAAGTCTCTTTTCTCGTGGAAAGCTTCGAATGGAGGCGAGACCACACCGAACCAAGCGAGTTTAAATACCGTTTGTGAATCAGAAACCAAGAGACTACAGAGAGGCTGGCGCCAGAGAGCAAGTTGAGATGGCACAAAAATCCAGCAAAATCTTCGAACAAAAGCCTGCGTGGTGATGGGGTGATGCGCTTGTAATAAGGCGCAATGTCGAAGCTCTTGTACTCCAGGGATCCTGGAAGGAGATCCGTATCCAACGCCTTGGAGCTGCAATGTCCTTGGGAGGCGAATCTCAAAGATTGATGAACGCTTTATTGATGTCCTTGCGCTCCTTTTTCACCTAGAAAAGGAATCGGGTGTAACGTGTGAAGAAAAAACGACAATGTGCATAAGAAGGAGCGAGAATGTTCTCGACATCTCAATCTCTATTTCCACGATTCTTTCATAAAGAGAACCCAGCAATCACGGTTTGGCCATTCATATATTCCAGTTATATACCACTTTGGGTTTGAAGTTCTAGTCACATAGCTTACTACATGTATTATATTGGCTTGAGATACTTTTGTTGACATTTCACTTTGGAGCTGAGCTTGTTCGATTAAGTTTTTAGCTTCCATTTCCTCCGTTTGTGTCAGCACAACCACCCCTACCACGACAACGACGACTACGACTGTGACGACGACCGCACTGCCCTCGACAACTGCGGCAACGACAGCCACTCCAACAACGACCACGACTGCTGCAACCACGACAACAACCACAACCATGAGCAGCTCCATCATGAGCACCACCTCTGGAAGCTGTAGCACTCAGCGTTGGCAGAACTGTCGTCAAAGTAATTGCTGCTTCTTGTCTTGAAGTCGTTTTTGCTTCGGTCTTGTTGACAAAGCCTAGGGTTACCAGTTCGTTCCAATGATTCTCAAGCTATCGTCGGATTCGGACTTCCGTGAGTAGCCGTGCACAGCTGTTGAGGTCAAAGTCTTGACGATGTGTGCTACGAGAAGGATCAATGGTATGCTCAGTGCCGACCAGAAGGTCGATGCGACACGTCCTGGAGTTGCAAGGTTCTCTCTACGGCAACAGCTTCCCCAACCACTACAACCACAACCACTACAACCACGACCACGACCACTATGACCACAACCACGACCACAACCACAAGCACTGTGACCTTAAGCCCGAAGACCTTCGAGCCAGTTGACGGAGGCGAGAGCCGCGAGAGCTAGAATGAGAAACACACTTCTACAGACTCTTGAACTGATTGCGGGACCTTTCGTGTTGTTCATGGTGATGCAACCTCCAGCCTGACAAGAATGGCCCCAATTGTAAGTTCCTCTGGCGCAAAACCAGAAGCAATTGCACCAATTGAAATCCCCTTCCCTTCGCTCTGAAAGCATATTGCTGAAGTGAATAAGTGTTTTTTTGATCTTGGTCTGGCAGACTTGCAGGCGAAGGCCGTGCTTGCCGTGGGGACTTCCCCTCTGACAACAAAGCCTCCTACTACACAGTCCTAAGCATCTTGGGACCAAAGGTGACGGTGTTGACGCCAACGGTCATGTGTCCTCGGTGTTTTGTTCTCGCGAGAACTGTCCTGGCGTGTTAGAGTATCATTCTAATTCTTTGCGTAGAGCTGCCCACATGTTGTTTGGCAATTTCTGGAGTGGATCAGTGGATCCTAATTCGTGATGACATCCTTTCACGGAGCATGGCATGGCGCGTGCATTTTCTTGCCGCACTTTTTCAGTTCACATGTTCACACTGTTTACCACACAACTATTGAGGAACGGGGACATGAAACATGATGCGTGTTCACAGGACTGTTTTCCGTCAAGGCGTTTGTCAGGACATCCTAAGGCGATTCAGCTTCGCGATGTCTGAAGTCCAAACGAAACAATTGGCGTCGCGAGGTCTCAAGCGTCGTGCTCGTAACTCAGGTGTTGCGACGATGGACGAGTGCAAAGAGCGCTGCGCCTCCACCGAAGAGTGCAGCGGCATTGAGTACAACGTTGCTCGCCAAATTTTGTCGGTCTTTTCAGGTCCATGGAATCGAAGATTTGAAAAAAGGGTTGGAGGGTGGTGTTAGCTTTAAAAACAAACCACAAGTGCCACAAGAGCTTTAAATGAACGCCCTGCGCAGGTGGGCGGGCGGTGCGAAGTCTGGATCCGCCCAGAGGGGATCCACGCTGCTCGGTGAGGGTTTGACACTGACACTCGCTGGTCGGTGATTGGACAATGTGATTTTCGTAACGAAAACGAAAAGACAGCATGTGATGTTTTTTCCTATCAAGATCTGCCGTGTGTGATGCGCATCTTGTCATGGAAGCAACACAATCAATCTTTTTTGGAGAATCTAGACCCAAGCCTTCAGCGGTCCAAGGAAATATGTTTACCCCTCCCTTGTTATACTCCTTTTAGAAGCCATTCCAGGTATCATCCCATGTAATTGAATCTGATGAATAGTGCACGCACACACTCTGACATTGGTTTTCAGTTAACTCAATTGCCACGATGGGAAGGAAAGTGAGAAACGGTATGGTGGAGAGTCCGCAATACTTGAAGACGTTTTAACAAAAGCTGTTTCGCAAGTCTGCAGAAATCAACGGTCGAACGAGTAACGCGGCTGCACCTCTGCCGGGGAAGTGGTTTTGGGGGAGGAAGCATGAACAACCATGGAAGCAAACCGAGCAAATTGGACAGCTTGATCAAAAGTTCGCGTTGCAGGTACAGGAATGTGCGTCCACATTCCCTTCCGGCTGAATCCCATAGCTTCGTTGGCATGGCTAGGGAGACAGCTGCCATGCCCCCCTGCTTCGAAGATTGTCCAAGAAACTGTATGGCAAAGACCCTTAGAAACAGGGTGTGACACACACAACAAGCCGAAATCGGCGCGGTCGCAGGGCAGTGAAAAAGCGGGCTTTTTCTTCAAAAACCGCCTGCACGCTTGCAGGTCATGCCCTTTTTGGGCGTAAAGGTGAACCAATGCTTCTGCCGCAGCTGTTGCGTTGTGAGGTGGGAAAGTGTAGGTGTCGTGAGATGCAATGCAAAATCTCGCAAAGTGTATGGGAGCTGATCAAATGGCTGCGGGTTAAAAAGTTGGGAAGATGCACGAGCAATGCACGACGAAGTAAGAGAAATCCATCGTTTATAGCCCGGCGGCTCGAAAGTCAGTTGATTCAGTTATAGTAGTGAACGCCGAAAAAACAGTTATAAAAATGGAGGACAATGATTTCCAGCGTGAATTCAGCGCCCGAATGAAGGGGATCACACCCAGCACCCAAGTGGGACGACTGAGCGGCTCACACTCTGACATTGGTTTTCAGTTAACTCAATTGCCACGATGGGAAGGAAAGTGAGAAACGGTATGGTGGAGAGTCCGCAATACTTGAAGATGTTTTAACAAAAGCTGTTTCGCAAGTCTGCAGAAATCAACGGTCGAACGAGTAACGCGGCTGCACCTCTGCCGGGGAAGTGGTTTTGGGGGAGGAAGCATGAACAACCATGGAAGCAAACCGAGCAAATTGGACAGCTTGATCAAAAGTTCGCGTTGCAGGTACAGGAATGTGCGTCCACATTCCCTTCCGGCTGAATCCCATAGCTTCGTTGGCATGGCTAGGGAGACAGCTGCCATGCCCCCTGCTTCGAAGATTGTCCAAGAAACTGTATGGCAAAAACCCTTAGAAACAGGGTGTGACACACACACACATGTACGCACATGTAGCAGGTGTTTATCTCACTTATATAGATGCTACTCTCCGTGTGTGAGCACCTTTGCAGTCCTTTTTGTAAGACTGTCTAATCCTGTCATTCGTGAGTTCCTTCCTGGTGTGGAGATGTATACCTCCAGAATGGTCCAAAGCCTCCGAGAAGCCAGTTGCTTTCAGTTTGTGTTGGTGGAGCAGTTTTTGTCATCACTGAGCGCACTCAAATGCATACATGTGCAAGTGCTGGCTTTCCCAATTTCCAGGCCTCAATTGCACTCAACAACTACTACTGCTTGCGCTACGGCAGCTTGGCGAAAGAATTTGCGGTGGAAGCATCAAGTATCACAAAGTCGTTAGGTGTCAGTCCGGTTTCTCAGGATCAAGAGGATCTTATTTTGTGTGCACCCCTGCACCACCAAAATCATCAAGAACACACCAACCGTCACCGAAAATTTGGGTACACCTCTAAATTACTTCTTTTTATCATTTGGTGATAAAATGTGCACTTTGGTAGACCCGAGTTGAGCCTTTTGTTCTCTTCCCAACCAGTGCACTGAACGTTCTAGGCCCTTTGCCAGAGACTTCCTTTGAGCCCGTGGACGGCGGTGTAGACCGCGTGTGCCGGGGTGCGCATGAGAATGACAACCGTGCGGAGTACTTCGACGTCCAACAAGCCACTTGGAAGAACTAGATTTCTCATGCTCCAAACCTACCGAAACCTAGCTTCATGTTCAGATTTGAGTTGACCTGAGGCCGAGTCTTTAGAAGGCTGCAAGAGGCTTTGCACCGACACGGTGGGTTGTGGCTTTGGCGCGAAAGGACGGAAAGGAAAGCCCGGAAGAAATGGGGAAAGAAGAAGAAGAAGAAGTATAAAAAGAGGCCAAAAAGGAAGAGCAAGAAAAAGAGAAGAGCAGAAGGGTGTCCGAAAAGAAACAGGCGGACGAGGAGAAAGAGAACGAATGAGAACGAGGGGTCTGAAGCGAAGGTTGAGTTTTGCGATGTTAAGATGTTGGGCCCGGAATTTCAACAACGTTGACTTCGCTGGTTTGGGACTTTGTGGAAGTCCACAGGTGACACTGGTTGTCCGAGAGAAGTGTCACTTTCCCTGACGACCTCAGGTAAGGGGATCGAGTACCACAAATATGGCCGCTGTGAAATTTGGCTTCGCGACGAGGGAATCCAAGCGAGTAAGGTAGCAGCAGACTACACCTGCTTGCGCTTTATCCCTCAGCTTAGCGTAATGTGAGGAAAACCTATGAAGTGTTTGACTTGAAACACCCCAGCACAACTTTTGTGTTGAGTTCATGCGATGTTTCTTCAACCCAAATGACAGAGCATGACCAATCAGCTGGACATGGGTTTACAGCCACCCGAGCTGGACCTTTTGTCAAGTTTGCTGTCAAGCCTTCATGAGCCCCTTCTCTTCAATTGAAATTTGGATTGGTTTTCTCTATGTTTCTTTTTGGATCTTGGAGGCTTCAGCGAACCTTTCACTCGCGTTTGAGCGAAGACGACCCAATTTGGAGTTTTCAGCGGGCTAGTCCTCAACGGAATGATTTTTTTCTGCACGGGAACGAACTTCTTTAGCTTTTCCGTGGAAGACGCCGGCTGGGGCATGTGAGCTTTCCGCTTGTGAAGTTTGCGCTTTGGATTTGGCAAAGTATAGTTGTGTTGCCATCAGCTCCTCTGCCTGGATTATGCTTGATTCAAGGCGAAAATAGAGCTGTCGGGACAGATTGGATATTTTTGGCTCAATTGAGCAAATGGTTCTCAGCTGGATGCATTTCTAATTCCGATCAAACTTAGCCAGTGAAGTTGCACTCTTTTCTTTCACAAGGTACACGACCTAGCCAAAGCTTCTGTCGCGTGTATCGGAGAGTGCCAGGTGCTTCTGTGTCCACAGTTGAGGCCACGACCAAGCTTCGAGTTGAGTTTATGACTGTTTCATCTTCAAGTACTAAGTACTAGGCGTGAAAAGTAGCTCAACTGTGAGATGCGAAGCAAAAGGTCACCAAATGGGTCTAAATGAGTCGGTCACCGCTTGGTTTGGAGTTCACCGAGAAAAGGAGCCAGAGAAGCCGACGTCGAAGCCTCAGCAAAAAGGAGACAACGAGTGGCCTGAGCCCAAAAGCGCAAAGAAAACTTATGTGATAAAGAAGAGCCTACTAGCGATGGCCTCCAACCTACTAGCGATGGCCTCCAACCTACTAG